ACAGTTCACCTTCCGGTGCTAATTATATTGAGGACAGGTCCTCAGAGGTCACCAGAGTATGTCTTTGAGACATGCCTAAAGACTGGGCATTCCCTTGAGATCACCACACAGCATGCTGCGTGAAGAAGAACTACAGTTTGTATTATCTTGTTAGCGCGTCTGCTGCGAGTGATTCCCTGTGCTCTGCCGAGAAATCGATGGCGCCGACAATGCCTGCTTCTTGGATGCGGGGAGGCCATTTCCTCCCAGCGAACACAATATGCACGTTTCTTGGTCAAACATTACCAAGAACTTCGGTATCCGGACACGAAGATGTGGGAGCAGCCACGAGACGTATCGCCGTAGATATGACGGCCCACATCGCCCTCTGCGCTCCGGCCAAACGCCACTCCCAGTCCGTTCCGTTCCGTTCCGTTCCGTTCCGTTCCGTTCCGGTCCGGTCCGGTCCGGTCCGGTCCGGTCCGGTCCGGTCCGGTCCGGTCCGGTCCGGTCCGGTCCGGTCTGGTCTGGTCTGGTCTGGTCTGGTCTGGTCTGGTCTGGTCTGGTCCTGGTCCGGTCCGGTCCTGTTCGGTCCCCGCCGGTCTCGCCAGCACGCCGCAGTGGCATCGCCTCAGCCGGCTGCTGCCTGTTGCCCACCTCCCGCCGTCCCTCGCCCGTTGCTCGCTGTTCGCTGTCTGCCGCTTGCCGGCCGGCAAACCAGTCGATTCAGTCGTACAAACGCTCGATGGCCGTTTAGATTGCCGGGCAGCGGGCGCCGGCCGGAGCGGGCGGCACCGGGTCGCGCCAGCGGCCGGCCGGCGTGCTGCTCGGCGCCCGGCACAGCCCGGTCGATAGCGTCGGACCGCGGCGCATGGCCGGCCGCTGCGTACGACGCCCGGCGCCCGATGTCCGTCCGTCCTCCGGGACGCCGGGCCGTGCGGCGTCGAGTCGACGCGAGGGCACGCCCTGCGTTCCGGATCCCCGTGTCCCAGATCCGCGCTCGTCTTGTCTCGTCCCGCGCGGTGCGACACCGATCCGCGCGCCTCGCACCCGCAGCCGTTCCTCCTCCCACACCCAGCGTTCCTCCGTCCGCGTCTCCGCACCTCGTGTCCGTCACTCGTCTGTCTCTCTCTGTCTCGGCGGCCGATGTCCGTTAGCCGGCGCCGCCTGCCGCGCCGCCGCCCCGGTGCCGTGCGGTGACGCCGCCGCGCCGTGGCCGCAGCCCTGATGTGGCCGCATGGCCGCTCCGGCCGCCGGCGCCCCCATTTAATTGCAATTTACGGCCGGATAAATTTGGCCGGGGCGCAGCGGCGGCGCTGCAGCGCGGCGGCGAGCGAGCAGCGCCGGCGTGCCGAGGTCGAGGTCGGCCGGCGCGCCCGCCCGCCTGCAGACCGCGCTCCGGCCGCTCTCGACGGCCAGCAGCGGGGTCGCGCGCGCTGCGCAACGGCCGACGTGACGAGACTGGAGAGCAGCGGAGAGTGCTGACGACGGCCAGGTGGCCGCCGTTTGTTTTCCGGGGGTGTGGGAGGCCTGCTGTCGGTGGTGCCTGTGGTAGGATGGACGTGCTGCCGATGCCAGCTGGCTGGGGCGCCTGGCGCGCGCGGTGTCGCCCGCGGAAGGAACCGCATCCGAGACGTCGCCGACGGCTGCAGAAGACGGGCACGCGGGGGCCGGCGGAAGCCGTGCACGGCGGACGGCCGTGCCGGCCGGGGACGCGCGTCACGTCCGTGTCGTCTGGCGCGCCGCGCCGGCCGCCTCGGCGGCGCCGGCGGCGCCTCCCGGCGATGATAGCGCGGCTCGCCGGACGCGGCGGACGCGCCGGACGGTCGGCCGGGCGCGAGGTCGCAGCGACCGCGGCTTCCTGGTTGCGGCTGGCGATTTTTTGGCGGTGGCGAGTCGCTGCCCGCCGACCGCCGCGGGCGCTCACCCCGGCCCCCAAACGGGTTTGTCGGCGGAAAAATCTCCGGCAGGCGTGTTGCGGTGGCCGCGGCGACGGCTCAACGACGCGGCGCAGCGCGGGCGGCGCTCGTGCCCACTGCGGGCCTCAGCGCGCCCCGCCCGTGTGAGCAGTTCGGGGGGGGGGGGGGCGAGCTGGGGTGCTGTCGGCCCGCCCACCGGTAGTGGTCCGGCGTGAACTGGCCGGGCGCCGGGCAGCCAGCCGGCGGCCGGCGACCGGCGACCGGCGACCGAGGCGGCGGCGCGGTCGGCGCCTGCTGCAACCCAGCCGGGTGATGTGATGATGACGCCAGCTGGCTTGGTGGCGGGCTTTCCCCAGACGTATTCTAGAGTTAACGGGCTTTGAGATGGCTGGGTAAAACCTGCGGGATGTGGCTGGGTCCAACCCGTGTCAGGCGACGGGGTCAAACCCGTGTCGGGCGACGGGATCAAACCCGTGTCGGGGCCCGGGGTCAAACCCGTGTCATGCGACGGGGTCAAACCGAAGCATGGTGCGCGCGTGGCGCAAACTCGCTTACCGATTCAACTTCGTCAGTCGTGAAATCAATCTCATTCTTACACTTGCTTTAGGGTTTGCCTGAATGCAGCGTTTGTTGCGGTCCCCTGACTTTCCGGTCCGTGTCGTGATGTTGTTTTAAAGGCATTGTGCCGGTTGCTCGCGACGCATCGCAAGCGCGCCATTGTTGTAAGCCCAACCTTTCCAAAACGAAAAACTTGCGACAATCTCGAGTGCTTGCTCATTGGACTTGTCAGGCGACGAATAGTTTAAGGAAGTTTCGGGAACAAAGCCTGCTTGAAGTGCCGCATGGAGAACGGATCAGCGACAACTGGGGCCAGCTGTGGCTGCCATGTGGCAGAGCGATGCGATCATAACGTGCTCGCCGTTTCCTCGGCCGTTAACGTTCGCCCGGGGGTGATTTTGCCGTTCTCACGAGCCACGTCAATGACGTTTTAGCTCTAAGCGGCGGTGGCTGTTGGCTGCATTTATGAGTCGCTCGCCCGGCATGGCTATTTGATCATGTGTCCGCTCCATCCTTGTGAAGCGCTTCGATGCCGCTCGTCCGCACACTCCTTCAAAGTTTACTCCGGTATATTCGATAGTGAAGTGGCACTCCGGTATATTCGAAGAAGTAGCATGTTAAGTGCTTTGCTTGCGCCGTGGTCTATTCCCGTCCCAAGACCATTGAGCACATGCCAGCACCCTGAAGCGCCATCACGTGCATTCTCTGGAGCGGGTCGCGGAAAACTGGTGCTGTCCTTACGCCTGCGCGCCGAGGAGAGGCGCCACTGAGGCGCGCCTCGCGCCCGGCGACCAGCGCCCAGGCCGCGTCTCGTGCGATGGTGCGGCGGGCACGGCTGCGGCGCGTGCCGAGGATCCCAGACGGACGACGTGTAGGGCTCCCCGGGCGCGAACGAGACATGGGCCCACCGGCCCGAGGCGGGGAGGGCCCACTGCCCAAGGCTGCGGCATGACCGCCGCCTGTCCAACGATCAAATGCTGTCTGGGCTCCCCGCCTTGTCAGCACCGCTCAGGTCGATGGTCGATCGCCGACCGAGTGCGGACCGGACGGACTCTCGAGCTCGCGCGTTTGCGCTGATCGTACAAAGACGAGACGCGGATTGGGCAAGAGATTGCGCACCGGCAAAACAGAACCTCGGACCACAGAAACCCAATGTGGATGGCTGCCCTCCGGTGCGCACTCCTTCCTGCAGGGCAGCGAGCACTCCGTCGTGGCATCCGGGTCGGGTGCCCCCCCCCCCCCCCCCCCCACCTCCCTCAGCGCCAACATCGCCTCACCTGCGACTAGACTCGGTGACCGATGACCGCCGATCGTGACCGCCGACTGCGGCCAGCGGCAGCGCCGGTGGGCGCCGCCGGCGGCCCCTCGGCTGCTGTTGCCGGGGCGGGCCGGGTCCCGCCTGCTGCGGCGCCGGTCACCGATCGGGTCAGCAGGACCCGTCTGGAGTGCTGCCGCGGCGGCGCTGGCCTCACGGGAGCTGGCGGCACGGGTGCTGATCGAGCGCCGCGCCGGCCTCACCGCAACCGGACCGCCGCGTCCAGTTCCGCCAGCTGCTGACGCGGCTGAGAAAAAAAGAGGTCTTGCAATGGCTTAAGCTGACGATTCTGTATAAAAGGGATCCCGCAGCCGGTTTTGGTCGTGGCATTTAGTTACCTGGTCGTGATCGCATACAATGCTCCATTTTTCACATTTGTTGGTAGGTGTTGGTCGTGAACTCGTTGCTGAGATCGGATCGCGTTTCTTGAAGTACTTCGCGACCTTGACTCGCAAAAGCCGGGCTCACTTGTGGCTTGTAGCCGCGGGTCCAGCCCCTGACGTGGGGGTTTAGAAAAGTTTCCGCACCGTTTGATAACCGAGCTGGCTTAACCGGGCTCGCGGCGATTTTCGAAAGTAAAGTGCCGGCATGAGCTAGGTGGCCAAATAAGTCCGCCCGCCTCCGCTGCTGTGTGATGATGGCGGGCCGCAGTAAACAGGATGTCGGCAGTGATTGCTTATCCGCGGCTCCTGGGCATTGCAAATATACCGCGCCACGGGTCGGCGAAAACAGAAGCAATGCTCTGCACCGCCACGACGTCGGGCAGCAAGGTTTTGCAATCGGTTAATAAAGCATATGTTTTTTGATAATTCCAAACGTCCCACAGAGCAGAACTCGGCTTGAAGTGCTACCGCACATCATCCCATTGGATCGTACCGCATTTATTATTCCCCGTCCGCCCCGACTGGGGCCAGCCTCCGCGCTTGAGTTGTGGGTTTGGTCGTACAGGTCTGTCCCACAGTCAAAGTAAGAGCTCTTCACCGTTTCTTCAAACCCACGGGAGGGTGGGCCCGCGAGACGTGGGGGCTGGAGGCACGCGGGCGGTGATGCCACCTGGACCGAAACTGGTGCCTCCGACCCAGATGTCGCGCGCGGACTCGCCGTGCCATTGTAAAACAGCGGAGCAGCGCATGGCGAGCCGGCACGTCGGTGTGGGCGGCGCGCTCTGGAGGTAGCGCCCCGCCGCCCGGTTCCGCCCCCGTCTGACCACGCACCCGTCTCTCCGCCAGCGACGTACCCGCGCCGGGAGATCAACCTGAAGCCGGGCGAGACGTTCAACATCACCTGCCAGATCGACCTGCAGCACCCGAAAGTCATCGGCTACAGCTCCGCCGACCTCTACTTCACTCGCGTGGAGGAGCGCGCCGGCCGCGTGGCCAAGACGGAGGTGCCCGCCGACCAGTACACGGTCAGTGGCGGCGCGGGGGAGGGGGGCGGGAGGGGTCGGGGGCTGGCGGCGGCGCCGGACGTCGCTCCACGCAGACGGGAGGGCCACGTCGGGTCCGTGTCGCCTCCCGCAGTGTCGCGCGGTGTCTGTTCCGCTCCTCCCGGCTATCGGCGTGCTGTCGTCCCCTGAGGTGCCCTGTCAAGGGTTGTAGCCGGAGGTGTTGCCGCGCTCGCGTGTCGCCGCGCGCGCCTCCGCGCTCTCGCCGTGCGTCGGCCGTGCGGCTCCGTTCTGACCGTCGGCTGTGCGCGCAGGTGGTGAACAGCTCGTCTGTACTGCTGACGGGTCAGCTGTCAGAGGCCGTGCGACACACCTACACCTGTCGCCTGCGCCGCTCTGACGTGCCCACCACGGGCATCTGCATGACCAGCGTCAACGTTGGCTGTGAGTGTCGGCTGGGCCCTGGGCCCTGGGCTCTCTGGGGCGCTTTCTCCACGCCTAATGGACGGCTCGGCGCCGTAGCGAGAAGGCTGTGTTGTCGCCGCTTCAAAGACCGCACCGGCGCCTCTTGGGAGAGAGTCGTGGCGAGTCTTATCGCTACGTCGTCGCCGTGGGCAGTCGCACTGCTGTTTAAAACGCCACCGAACCCGGGACGTAACAGCGTCGCGCCAAATGGCCACAGCAGCCGAAACGCTATTCATATCCAAAGCATCATCAGCTCCTGCAGCGCCACAGTTGGTGGAAGGTGTCACGGGAGTGTGTGTGTGTGGAGGGCGAGGCGCTGGAGGGTGCCGTGGTAGGGGTGGGTAGATGTCTAGGGTAGAATTTCCTTAACCCCTCGACCTGCCAGCCCATGGGGTTGTCTGTGCCCATGTCCACCCATTCGCTACCGTTTCGTAATCAGTCGTACCCATTTGTTACCCATCCATCTGGATTTTTAGCTCCTAAGTTGTAAATGACGGTTTCACCGTAGGTTGCACGCGGCGGCGATATTTCAGATACTATGTAAATGGAGCGACTTGCGACTAAACGAAGTGCAAACAGTGATATTAAGGGTATTTTTTGGAGTGTGTTTACGACATTTTTGAACGTCCTGCCCACAGCCGTGCCCACTCCCACATTTTTTCCCAAACATGTGCCCAACCCAGCCAGTTACATGTGACGTGTAGCCGATGGTGTCACGGGTTTAGCAGGAGTAGAAATCAGGTTTGAAGAGTGTTCGTCTCCTGCAGGGGTTGTTTGCGCCGCCCATGGGCTTATCCAACCCCCACAGGCCTCTGGATGTGAGCGCCTCTGAAGGGTTGTTTGTGACGGCGCTTGCAGACAGGCTGTGTTGGTTGATTACGTGTGGGCGCTGTCGGAGTATTACTCTTGACGCTGTCCTTGAGACGCGCGATGGCGACGAGCTCGAGTCAACAGCGGCGGCGCCCACTGTTATCGTGATGGGAGTGACGCCGTCGTCGGCGCCGAGTGACACGTCTGGCCCGCCCCGCTGCAGATGGCGCCCCTGGCCGTGGAAAACTTCCGCTGCGTCTCCCACAACTGGGTCAACATCAGCTGCAGCTGGAACGAGTCGTTCAACGCCGTCAGGACCAAGTACCAGGTCCTGTACCGGCTCGCTTCGTTCCCGCACTACGTGTAAGTACCGGGGCGTGGCCCGCCGCGGCTCCTGACCGCTCTGCATCAGCCCGCCCGCCGCGCCAGTGCCGGCGGCCGCCTGATGGCCGCCTGATGGCCGCCGCAGCCGGCGCTGCTCCGAGAGGGCCGCCTGCAGATGGCCGGCTACCTCGTTCGCCATCATTAAATGCCATAGAACTTGACACGGGTGCCGTAAATTACTTGAGTTGGTTGGCCGACCTGTTCGAACTGAGTGGGCTTGGGGGCGGCCGGTCGCCGCCGGGCGTTTGGCGCAGGGTGGGGGCACGCTCTGCGGATGGGGGCGGCGGCGGCGGCGGCGGCGGCGGCGGTAGGGAGCAGCCAGCACCGCTCGGTCGGGCCTCCCATCGTCAGGCCGTCCTGCCGTCGCCGGCGGCGGCGGGCTACGCCCGCCTGCCGCGGCGCGCCGCCGCCGGCGCCGCGGGGCCAGGGGTCGACCGTGTGACGAGCGCCCGTTCCTCACAGCGATGGCCGGCGCAGCCTTGAGCTGCCACCGTTTGTCACGGCCCAGCCCCGGCCGCCCGGCGGCGCCGGCGGCGGCGGCGCCGCCGCGGGCCCTGGACAGAGGCGCCGCCGGCGGACAGACGGGCTCTGGCACCGTGCGACGCAGCGCCGTGAGAGGGTTCGGCATGCGTGTGCGTGTGCGGGGTACGGTCGCGGGTTCTGGGTCGGACTGGTGGTGGGACGGCGGTGGTTGGGTCGGGCAGGGCAGCACGCGGCGAGGGCCGTGGCCGCCGGCGACGGCCGAGCTGGGCCGTAGCGGGTGGCGGGGAGTGACACGTGAGACGCGCCCGCTCTGCGGTCCCCGTTACCGACACCTCGTCGGGCGTGAATGGGACGACCTTTCGCTGCGGGCGCCAGCGCGGCGGGCTGGGGCCGACCACCGACCCGCCGGGCGCGTGGCCGGCCCGGCTTCGGCGGCTGGCTGCGCCCCCAGCGGGCGGGCGAACGCCCGAACGACTACTTCCGCCCTGCTGTAATCACAGTGTTCAGTCATCTGTCAGCTTACGCGGCTGTATTTTACACAGCCGTCGCGGCAAGTGGATTACGAAAGACCGGTTCAGCACAGGGAAGGGGGAGGGAGGTCGAGCCGGCGGCGTCGGGTTCAATCGTCCCCCAGGTCGCAACCGGAACGGGGTGCGTCCCCGTGTGGCTAGACCCTCAAACCGGTAATGGCCGCTGGCACCGGCCCGTCCGCGCCATGCCCTCCCCCCCCCCCCCTCCCCCGCCCTCGACTGTGTCGGGATCAGGCATGAAGCCAAGGTTATAGTTTCGAAACGTGAAACCCGAAGCCCAGATGATAATGGCATTGGCCGAAGTCGAAGCCTCGGGCGGCGGCTTTTAAAATTTGGAACAGCGGAACCGAAACCTGTGGCGTGTACTTTTATTTTGGACACCGAATCCGAAGCAATTTACCTCAAACTTTGGATGTAAAAAGACGAACCAGATTTCGGCGGCTTTGCAGAGGAATCCCAGGAAAAAGGCGAAACTGAATCTAGTGCTCAACTTGTTTTGCGAAGCCGAAACCGCTTTGGCTACAGCGTTAACTGCTAGGAATCAAGTTTTTGTGAAGGGATTTAGACGAGGTGTGTAACATTACAAATGGGATATTTTTGAACTACCATCGTCAACTTCTGTGCACAACGCTTGGAAAAGTTAGGTTCTCAGCTGTGGTCGGCTGCTAATTGGTTCTAAGAATGACCGACCGGTTTTCGCTTTCAACGACGAGTGCTTCGTAACCTCAAAAAGTTGTGTGGCGTTTTGGACTGAGCCGACGGGCAGGGCTGCTGGGTGGGGCTAAGTCATAATTGCAGGGAAAAAAATCACTGCGTCAAAAGCGAAGCCAGCTGTTCAGCATTGTAAGAAGCCGAGGCCGGATTCAAAATTACAAAACTGTTCAATGTCCGGGCCGAAGCCAGCCGTCGAAAATGGCTCAAAGCCATAGACAAGCCCGAAGCCATTGGAGGAGAACTGCGGTTTTATGAAGCCGAAGCCAAAGCCGGCCTCGTCTCCAAGCCTGGTCGGAGCGAGCCCACTGATGATTCCGTCGTGTGAAGCAGCGGCAGCTGATTCCGTTCATCCCGCGCGGGCGTCCATCAGCTGATCGGCCCTCGGCCTGGCGCGGCTGGGCTTCGCCACCTGGCCGCCGGTGCCTTCCCGACGTCCGCCCCCCCCCCTCCCCCCCCCCCCCTCTATCCCGGCCTGCGTTCCGGACCGGCGTCACGGGCGGCTACCGCTGACCGTAACGTCGGCTCATCCCCCCCCCCCCCCCCCCCCGGTTGCGGCTTGAGGGGTCGATGTCACCTGGCCATGATACCGCGAATGGCGAGGTCACCTCGTCCGCAAAAAGCGCCGGTAGGCTGGCAGCCGGCCGCTGCCGCGGCGGCCACGACATCTGTGCCGATATATGATATGAAGAGTGGAGCAGGATCGAGCCGTATTGGGATAGATGGCCGGTGGCTGGTTCTGCGTTTTTGTGATGTTCGACATCGCGGAGTCCGTTTTGCCTCGTTCCATTTTCCATTAATGCTGCACGTGGAGAGTGTCAGGGGACGCCGGGCCGTCTATTTTGGCTGGCATGCGCCTGCGCCCTGGCTTCCGAGCCCAGGAATCCCGCCGGTTCAGCGGCACTGTGGTCTGTTCGGGCCGTGAACCGGCATTTTCCTTGACATTGTGGCAGTAATCTTCCTTCTCGATGATGTTGTAAAGTTGACGCGGCGAACCGGTCGGCTGGATTTTCTTAGTACGATGCCATCTTAGTGCTCGAAGTGCAGAAAAGTTGTTAGAGCTACTAGATCCTCTTAGGAAAAGAATCCATGAGCTGATCTACGTAAATCCCGTTCAGTGCATTCCCATGGTTAGACTTCCTTAACGCCTTGATTCAAGGCCCCCAAATTGATATTGATGTTGTCAATGTACTTTTCCATTCGTCACGCTGCCATGCGCAGCACAAAACGTTCACGTCTGCTTGTGTTCACGAATTCTGCACCCCTAAAGTTTGTGTGACAGCACGACTCTCCATAGCGTCACACTTTTTCCCAGTCAGCTCCACTCCTTCCGTGTCTCGTTTCCTCCATATTGTTTTCTCAACCCACTCTCCTCACCCTCGATCCAATGTTACCTCCAATCTTTCCGTCGATATGGCGAGGCCGTTCGGTGGCGGCGGCGGCGGCGGGGGCGTGGCACCGTCGTCATGACGCCGGCGGAGGCGTGACGACAGGGGGGGACGTCTGGCGCCCGCCCGGGCTGCCCGCACTAGCGCGCGCGTGGCGGCGCCGGCCGCCCGCAGCAGCCCGCTGGCGGCCGTGCGACGGCGACGCCCCGGGGTCCGGCGACGAGCGCGCGGAGGCGGGGCTCAGCGTCGCGACTGGGCTCCGCCGCCGCTGCTGCTGCCGCCGCTGTTGCTGCCGCTGCGGTGTCGGGCCGGCGGCCTAGCTGCGCCGGCGAGAGCGACGCGTCTCGGGGCTCCAGCCGGCCGCGGGCTGGTATTGATCGGCACTGCGCAGCACTGGCTCGGTCACGGCCGCCGCCCCGCCCCGCCCCGCCCCGTCCCCACCCCGCCCCGCCGGCCGGCAACAGGGCGGCGCAGAGGTCATGATGGCCGTACAGAGGCTGGAGCGATCGTTACACAAGGAACAGGTCTGTACAGATGCCAGAGCGGCCTGCACAGAGGTATGCAGAGGCCATGGTGGCCTGCGCAGTGGTCTGTACACAGGCCACAGCGGACTGTACAGACGCCAGAGCGGCTTACACGGATGTGTGCAGAGGCCATGGTGGCCTGTATAGTGGTCTGAACACAGGCCACAGCGGACTGCACAGATGCCAGAGCGGCCTGCACGGAGGTGTGCAGAGGCCATGGTGGCCTGTATAGTAGTCTGAACACAGGCCACAGCGGACTGCACAGATGCCAGGGCGGCCTGCGGCCTGCACATAGGTGTGCAGAGGCCATGGTGGCCTGTACAGTGGTCTGTACACAGGCCACAGCGGACTGTACAGATGCCAGGGCGGCCTGCGCAGAGGTCGGGGCGGCCCGTAAAGAGATCAGAGTGGGCGAGTGGGACGAAGTTCGCAGTAGCCTGTACACATCCAGGAGCGCACATGGGTCGGAGCGCCTGCACTCAGGTCAGAGGTCGGCGGCCAATACAGAGGTCATGGCAGGTCAGTGGTCGTCACGTTGGTCAGAGTGGCCTGCATGGGTGTCAGAGCGGCTTGCATAGGGTCCCGATGGCCTGTGTAGAGGTCAGGATGGGGTGGTGCGGGAGTCAGTGGGCCTTCCGGCTCTCATTAGCCCGGGCTGGAGTCAGAATGGCGAGGAGCCTCGGTGACGGCTCTTGACTGGCTTTGGACCGTCGGGGGTCGTAAGCATTTGTCAGACCCGAGGCTGCTATCAGGACAGCGTGTAGCACCCGAGGCCATCTTCTCAGTGCGGGCCTGCGCGCTGCCCGGCCGTCCATTCATCTGTCACGGGAAGGGGGCCTGGAGAAGCCCGGCCTTCTACGCTCGTCCCTCGGACCGCCCAAGACTAATGCGACAGTCGGGCTTGCGGGCTTTGCATTATGCAGCAGTCTGCCAGCACATTGTCAACTCGATCAGCGAAGAATGAGGAGACCTCGCAGCTAGAAATGTATGCATGGCTCGCGGGCGTACAGCGAATACCAGTGGTTGCCGGCGATCCGGCGGTCTTCGAGCGCGGCTCCTGTGTTAGCACGAACGTCTGTCTCCCACCTCCAGGCGGCCGCCCGCCCGGGGGTGGGAGGGGCCGAAGCTGCTTGGCGAGTCTATGTGAGTGCGTATGTGGCGCTGTCTGAATGAAGCGTTGCTGGAGGGAGGGAGGGAGGCAGGAGGGAGAGAGAGGGCTAGGGCCGGGCGGACAGAGGCGGGATGGCTGACGGCCTGCCGTCCGGTATTGATCGGAGCAGCTGACCGGTGAGGTGGCGCCACCCACCA